GACTCCCCGCAAACGGATAAGGATACATATAGGTAGGCATGGATGGAAGGAAGTATTGTAGAGTAGAGTAATGTATTGCACTGTACTGTACCCTATTGATTGCATGTATGTGTGGATATCGCATACTCATGATGTATGTTTGCACACATCTTTTTGATTCCTATATCCATATCTATATCTATAACTATATCTGTATCTACATCTGTTCCTATACCTGTATCTGTATCTTTATCTATGCGTATACATAGCATAGAAACATGCATACATGCATACATGCATACATGCATACATGCATTTACATACATACATACATACATACATACATACATACATACCTATATATGTACGTATGTATGTATGTATGTATGTATGTATGTATGTATGTATGTATACACTCTCATGGCGGGTCGGAGAGCTCTCATCTCCACAGGTTCTCGGCTTCCCTCACCTCGGCCTCAACCTGAAGCTGCGCCAGGCCTCGACTGAGAGAGTGGAGGGGGTTTAGGGTTTAGGGTTTAGGGTTTAGGGCCTAAGCCCTAAACCCTAAACCGTAAACCCCTAAACCCTAAACCCTAAACTCTAAACCGTGCGGGCCTTTTAGGGTTCTGGGGTGCTGGAGTCGAAGGCTTCTGAGCTTGGGGTTTGGGGTTTAGTCGGGTGGGTTTGGTTGGGGTTTGGGGTTTGGCCTGTGCGGTTAAGGTTGAGAGCTTAAGGCCTTTGGGCTGAACTAGAGTTCCCATCTTCGGGCGGTGCAGCCAGCAACGGTTAAGTAGCCAACAGCTGTCACATCACGCTCGGCTACGTTTTGGGCACCGCAGTCCCCCCATGGACCCTGCGACCCAAACCCTAAACCCTAAATGCCCGAACCCTAAACCCTGAACCCCGAAACACTAAACCCTCAATTTCCTAGCTGCAGGTTTACGAGGAGTCGGAGCTGAGGCGAAAGTGTGGCAGCGATCAGGCTGCGTCTGAGGATTTTGGGGCTAGGGCGTGTCATTCAACCGTTTTGAATGAATCGGTGTTTAAATTTTTCATGTAAGTAAATCGACCCTCACTCGATTATTTGGAGAACCAAGTTTAAAAGTAAGTCGACCTTCGACCCGGAACTCCAAACGGAATTGTGTAATAGCAGCCTTGTTACAGCAGAAATTGCGAGTAGAGAACACAGGTACACGAAAGGTTCATTCCCAGCTTGGCCTACTTCCTGAAACTTCAGACCAGCCATGCTGTTCAACGCTAGTGCCTTTATTGTATTTGAAGGCAGCTGGCTGCACGAATGGCAAGTAGGAAACCGGGTGAAATGAACGGTGGCAGGATGCCAGGCCCAAAGCACAGGATGAATCTCAGTGTCTCGCATCACCAAGGATACTCTCAGGACTGACAATACCTGGACTCGGTTAAGTCATCCACAAAAGATCTTTCGCCCCCACTACGTTACTACATGATTCTTCGTTCACCCGATTGCCTTTGGCGAAATTCAGCGGCGATTCAATGCTTCGACCGTTTTCTGTGCTGACATCACTGAGTGCTGTTCCGACTGTTGAGAACAAGTGCTGGACTCATGTGTGTGTGTGTGTGTCACTGTTCACATTTCTTCGGGCCAACATGCAATCGCAATTGCTGTTCCTGCTTCTGTATTGTCAGTATGGGCCTCACTTACACTGTCATGATCGGAACTGCTACTGTTTTGGAGATCATGGTATTAAATTTACCAGTCTTACCGAGTGCATCATCGCTATTTTGAACTGTTGCCTGTGGACGTTGGTCCCGCTACGTTTATGATGAGAACTCTTCTTTCTCATGGTAAGAGTAAATTTGATGGCCCCCCAATCCTTTCTGAGCCTTATGGTAACCTGGTTCTATGAGTCCCTTCAACCCTCTTTGAGGCTTAGGCGCCATGAGTATTTCCCACAGCAGCTCACGAGGAAAACCAAGTGCCCCCAGGGGGATATGTATGTCTACACGCGAATTAAAAGGGAATGTGTGTGTGTGTGTTGCTAAAACTTTCTGGGTACATGTTGTTTTCATCTATCTCCCTAACCCCCCCAGGTACCTACTATATAGGGTACTGGAGCCCCTAGGGCCCTATATAGTAGGTACCTGGGGGGTTAGGGTCTATCCGGACTCCGGACTCGTTGGCTAAAGACCATCGTTCTTCCTCGCGCTGACTCCCCCAAGCACTTGCGAGGCGAAGCTTCGACGCCTGGAGATCGCGCTGAAGAAGCCTCGCGGCTGCAGTTGCTACGGCGGAGCCGGAGGTATCGGACACATGATCTCTTACAACATAGGCTGTAGGTCTTCGACTGTGGGACTCGCAGCATAAGGTCGCCCAAAGTGGGATGTCGAGTTTACAAGTCCTCCCAAGAGCGTCTGAAGAACCCCCCCCCAAACCGCCGACCGAAACGTGTATGTGACCTGCAGTGGCCCGTGACAGCCCATGCCTAAGTCCGAGACAAGCTGAGCCAAGCCCAATGGCTCTCCATCATCATCATCATCATCATCGTCATCACCTTCGTCATCATCACCTTCACCATCACCATCGTTATCTTCCCCATCGTCATCATCATCATAATCGTCGTCATCGTCATCGTCATCGTCATCGTATCAGTATCATCATCATCATCATCATCATCATCATCATCATCACCACAATCGTCACCAACACCATCATCTTGCCATTTTCAGCAGCATCACAATTATCATGGTTAGCCACTGTCGTCAGCCTAAGCAACACCATCGTCGTCACCATCGACAGCACACCAGCATGATTGTCATGCGCATTATTGCTGGTGTTGTGCTTACGTTTACCCCCAACTCTTCTGAGGGCGTCATAGCCACCACCATTATCGAAATGGCGTTTCTAGCGGCCTATAGTTCCTGTTCAAAGCCACGCAGCTCTTGGGGTTATATAGGCTCCGGTCCAGTAAGCCTAAACCTGCTTGGCCGTGCCGACAAGTGCTCAAGAGATCCCACAGTCCCATCCAGATCTTCGAAAGCATCCCACGTTCTTCACCCCCCCGACGACTGCGTTGTTGAGTCCTGCACCGCCCTTCTGAGCAGCTCCTGCTACCAATATGTCTCTGTGGCTTTGTCTGTTATTGGCCCTTGGAGCTGCATTCCTTTATGTGGTGGTTCGCGTGCTCGTCCGGCAAAGGAGGCCCTGTGCCAAGCTCTCCGAGCTCCGAGCAGTGGCTGCTGCCCTGGCCCAGAAGCAGTGCATCTCGATCGTTGGCTGCTGTTGCACTGGGAAATCGACCTTGGCGCACACCCTGGCCAAGATCAAGGGTGTGCGGCACATCGAGCTGGACAGCCTGGCGTGGCTTCCAGGCTGGCAGAATCGTGATCGCGAGGAGTTCAAGGCAATGCTGTCCCAGCAGATCCAAGAGGCGAAGGCACTGAGGGCACCCAAAGCAGCATCCCCCTGCACAGGGTTCCGTGCTCAGAACTAGGACACTCACACACACACACGTACTGTAGACACATGGATCACAAACTTACGTACATACATATACATACTACATACGTATATACTGACATACATACATACATACATACATACATACATACATACATACATACATACATACCCACACATGCATACACACATGCACGGACACATACATCGAATATTCACATATGCACATTTTCCCGCTCAGAGCCGCTCGACAGGCACAAGGCGGATTCACTATAGACGGGAACTACTTCAATGCCACGGGCGGATTTGTGTGGGACGAGGTGGAGGTGGTCGTGTGGTTGGACTTGGACTTCTGGGTAGTACTCACCCGTGCTGTATGGCGCACTCTCAAGCGTATGATTTGCCGCATTGAGTGCTGCAACGGGAATTACGAGCATCCGGGCTTGCTCTTTACTGGGGACAGTGTCATCACTTGGGTCATCAAGGTGCACCACTTGCAAGAAGAAAAGCTTCGCCGAATGCGGGAAAAGCACCAGCACCAGCCCCTCTTCGTTCGGATCCGCTGCCCGCAAGATGTGGACCGCCTCGTGCAGCTCGTGCGGTTGGAAGTGGGACTTTAGCCCCGTCGAAGGAGCCGAAACATCCGGCGCACACGATCCCGATTCGTCTGGCAACAGGAGCACCGGCGCACGAAGTCGCCAGGACGCTCATGAGTTCATCACTCTGCTGGCATGTCCATAAGCCTGGCTTCGGAGCATGAAGGTACCGTGGCTGGCTGCAGCAACCGGGCGCGGGGTTGTTTTAAATCCCTGTTGTCTCCTAGATGCCTTCGGTCGTTCTTAGCCGTTGGCCCTTCAATGGGAAGAACCCGATCTCTCCGTCAGCTTCCTCCAGGCTGTCGCTTGCTGTACAGTGTGGGATGCTTGATCTGCCACAGCACGAAAAGGAACCCTGGACTGTCTAAACTCCTCAGACCTGAAACAAAGGATTTCATACAGGGGTCGGAATTTAGTACCGATAGGATCCCCTTAAAAGTCCTATATTTCAAGCCCCGCGTATGAAGCCCCAAACTCCAGCCTCTGAATCGAAGGCCCGACCTTTTCAAAGAAGTGCGAGCCGCTGGCGCTGCTCGTCGAGCTTTCGGACTTGCTGGATGTGTGTGCGGTTTAGTGCGTCTTTAGGTTCCGAGCCAAAGGTCAATCTTTTGGACTTAGCTGTGTTGCCACTTTTGTTGCTCCCTTAAAGGAACCCCAAAACCTTATTCTTAGGATTAAGGCCCCTACACCCTACACCCTTATAGTAGCCCTTATAGAGCCCTTTAAAGGAATATTCAATCTTTGGCGCCTTGTCGGTCGACTTGTTGGCATGAACTGATTTCCTTGTTGTGCCCAGGTTTATGTTTAGAACATACCGAGGCACCCTCTTGGGCTTGGGGCTTGGATGCCACTACTTGGAGGTTCATGGGTAGTTATAAATAGGGTCATAACTAGGGTAACTGTACTTATAACCCATATTAGGGGACTTACAACCCCACTTATAACTACCCATGAACCTCCAAGTATCGGATAATCATCGTTCCCAACTGCTAAATTCGTGCACTTCGAGGGATCCTGTGCACGGCTTCTTAAGGATACGGCCCCGGAGGTAGCATGCTGATGTGTTCGTGCCCAGAGTTTACCCGAAACTCCCCAGTCCCAAATCCGCAACCCCGAACTTATGCCCAAAACCCCTCAGCCGAAACCTCTAAACCGCTTCAGGGACGTATGTATGAATTCGACTGGAGGCTGCACCTCCTGCCGCGAAGCCGGCGAAGGCAGCATCTTAAGAACAGCCAGTCGGGGTTCCGAAGGGGATTGCTACTCTTGCATGGTGTTTCTTAGTAAGTTTCAGTAAGAACCAGTGATCCGGGGTCTGGGGAAGTTCGGAAGCTTCCCCAGACCTTGGCCATGTTTCTTATGGGATAGTGTGCTGTTCAAAATTATCCTCCGTATCAGGGCCTCATGATGGTGGAGTCCTCCTTCGTGAGGAACACGCAGAATAATCATGATCTGAAGCACTCCCCTACAGGAGCCAGTTTCTGCTTCCTTTCCAATGCCCTTTCTCCCAAACATTGGAGCCTGTTTCACCACCACATGTTGACTTGGATCCGTGCTAAAACCTGGTGTCCCCTTCTCTACGTGTGCTTTTGTTTTGGGTCGGCCCCCATATTGCGCGTGGTGCTGCTTCCAAACGACCAGCCCAATAGTCTTACAAGATCTGCCGTTCCCAACCACAACGATGCTGTCGGTTGATTACATCACAAGAGCTGAAGTGCCCCGAAGCATATCCGGATTGTAGGGAACTAGAAGGGACTCGTGTGCTGTTTGTGTTGATGACTTTGTTGCTCCGCCGGTTGTTTGCGTTCTCCTTGTTGTTGACCTTATTGTTCCTGGGAGGCCAAAGCAGGCGCGAAACGGAAGGCCTGGAATGTAGTCGGGGGGTTCGGACTTGAAAGGGCTTGCAGTTGAGAGGTTCATTGGGAATTCATGGGTTCGTTAAGTCTGCTTTGAGGAGGGGTTTCACCGGGCTCTTATTCGATTTGGGCTTGCAGGGTCCGGGCTCCTGCAGACTTGTGCCAGATAAGGTTCGCAGTCAGCGCACTTTCGGAAGCCATTCCTGGCAGGCACACACTCCTAGCTCCCGAAACATTGAGGTCTGCGGTATTACCAAAACGCGATCATCGAACGCAGAACTGCCTCCATGCAAGGCCAGAAACTCAGAAGCCCCGGGATCCTACAAACGTTAGGCCTTAAATCTCAACTAAGCTTTCAAGTACCTGGCTCCTAAACTCTCGGACCCCAAGACCCGTGACCCCACCCAGTCTCTCCGCCAGCCTGAGATCTCACCTCCCGAAAGCCCGAGAGATGGCTTCATAAGATCTAGGACATTTTCAGGTGGGTAATTACCGCTATAGGAGCCTTATAGAAGGTCTATATACCTTATAGAAGCCTTATAGAAGCCCTATATACCCTAAACTCCTTACCTGTAGTTTGCCTTAATAAAAGGCTGCTGCTGATTCTCCGGCGGAGCCCAAGGAGTGATCTGGGCACTGGCATGCATTTCGGCTACGGGTTTAGGGTTCAGGGTTCAGGGTTTAGGGTTTGGGGTTCAGGGTTTAGTGTTTAGGGTTCAGGGTTCAGGGTTCAGGGTTTGGGTTAGGGTTTAGGGTTTAGGTGGGTTCTGTGGTTTAGGGCTAAGAGGTCCACCGTCGCTGTCTTGATGAATGCCTGTTCTACCACTACCGCCGGTACAACTGGAGTTTGATAGATGGGTGTAGCAGCAGCTGCTTATCGGAATGATGCTCGTAGGGCTTTAGCTGTTCGGGGATTCCAGGGTTGCAAGGTGAAGGGCGGTGTCTTTGAGTTTTCAGACCTTAAACCCTTTTGGGGATCCTGGTTGCAGCAGGTCCTGCGAGACGAGTACCTGAATGACAACCCTATAAGCCTGAGCAAAACTGGCCTAAACCCAGGTAGAACCACTCCCGAAGGGTCCTAGTAGTCCTGATTTTATGGTTCAAAAGTACCCAAGAAGGCCCCAAAGTCCTTTGAATAATGGCTACTTGGACCCTTCGGGACTGTTTGCAACAGCACGTCGTGGAGGGTCCAGATGTTCCCAGTGCCAGATTCCGGGCCTGCGATCCTGGACTCCGAAATCCAACGGCGCCCAACTCTAATGCAGGGCCCTTCATCATTAGAATAGGGTTTTGGGGTATATTATACTATAAGTATAATAAGGAACTTTGGGGTATATGATACTATAAGTATAATAAGGAACCCCCAAAAGTAGTATTGGGAATTTTTCAGGTCCCTACATTGCATCAGTCGAGCTTGGGTGCTTGGGTCCTACCTACTTTAGCTGCTCAAGCCCTGCAACTCGTGCTCCAAAAACTCAAGCCCAACAGAGTTCGAACAAACGCAGAATCGGGTTTAGGGTTTAGGAAACTCCGAAATCCTGAAACCCCGACACCGAACCTCAGCGTATTTTCTTGTCAAGGAAGCAACATGTGGCGGTAACCTTTCAAAGCAGCCGTGCATGATCGCGAAGCCTCGACTAACCCTCAGGACAGCCCCAACCTCCACAAAACCTACCCAAACCCAGAGCTCCAATATAGAAGCCTGAATAAAGAAGTACCGACACCATAATACACCCCGAAGAACTCCCTACTTGGAGGTTCATGGGCAGTGATCATTGGGGTTATGAGTAGGGTAACTATGCTTATAACCCATATTAGGGGACTTATTAACTACCCTAAACCCTAAACCCGCATGAACGCGTGCAGAAGGAAAAGACATCAGACACACGGGGGCCCCCACCAGGCCTCCGCCCCACGGCCGGCGCGCAAGCGGCCAGCTGTGGCCGCCCCTCCACCCGAGGCTTCGGGAAGCGTAATGTAGGGGGCCTTAAATGATTACCTATACCTTTTTTTTTGGGGGGGGGGGG